TAAAATCTTAGAATCTCAAAAACCTACCTAAATATATTTAAATATTTGTAGTCTGGTAATCATGGATTCTAATTTCATCTTAAAAATCATAAAAGCTATAGATCTTTAAAATTTCTATTTTAAAATCTTAAAATTTCAAAAACCTAGATCGAGTAAATTTTTAGTCTTGAAATTATGGATTCAAAAATTTTAGGATCTTATCAGCCTAAAAATGTTAAAATCTCTCTTGTTTTAAAACTTTGGGATTTCAAAAACCTAAAGATTCTTAAATTTTCATAATCTCTAAGTCATGGATTCTCCGATTATTAAAATTTTAAAATCTTAAAAACTAAGATTTTAGTCAAATCTCCATAAACTTGTGGAATTTTAAAATTCTATTCAGAATAGTATAAAATGCAATAAAATGTGTTTTTTAACTCGATGAAAGTGAGGTTTTATGAGTCGAGACGTGAATGGTGAAGATAAGACAAAAAGAATTAAATAAATCTTTTTACGACTTTAAACCAGACAAAATTTCCTTCATTGTCTCAGTCACAAAAATGAGGACAATACCGAAAGATCTGTTTGTCTATTTAGCACTCTTTGGTGTATTATTTTCCGGCTTAATCACCTTGTAAGTACCCCAAATTCAAGCGACCCCAAAACTGTCCCCATTTTAGTTATGCAATAGTGCCACAAAACTACTTGCCACCACCGAAAAAACCCAACATTATTATAATAATGGCCGACGATGTGGTAAGTACGGCCGTGACCCCAACAATACCCCATTAAAAATTCCAGGGCCGTAACGATGTCGGTTTTCACGGTTCGAGTCAAATCCCGACCCCAAATATCGACGCTTTGGCTTACAATGGAATTATTTTGGACCGGTTTTACAGTCAGTGTTCATGTACCCCATCTCGGGCTGCCCTTCTTACTGGACAATACCCCATTAGAATGGGTATGCAAGGGTTACCTATAAGGGCCGGTGAAAATAAATCCTTACCCCTTCACGTTACCACAATGCCCCAACATTTAAAACGTTTGGGTTACACGACCCACTTGGTGGGTAAATGGCATATGGGGTATGCCCACATCCGAGATACCCCTTTACAAAGGGGGTTTGATACTCATTTTGGGTACTGGAATGGGTTTGTGGGCTACTTCAACTATACAGCGGTGTATGAATTGCCAAATGATACGGTATGGGTAATTTGGGGTTATGGGGTCTTAATTTGGGGTATTTTAGATGGTAAAAGGGTTCGATTTGTATGATGGGGTCGTACCGGATTGGGGGTCACGTGGCAGGTACGCCACTGATTTATTTACCGAAAAGGCAATAGATGTTATTGATGGGCACAATAGTGAGAAACCTTTATTTTTAGTTTTGGCCCATTTAGCAGCCCATACGGGCGAAGATGGGGTCGAATTGGGTGTCCCTGATGTTGCACAAGCCGAAACGAGGTTTTCTTATATTAAGGATCCCAGACGGCGGCTTTACGCCGGTAAGAATTAAATCCCTTCCACTAGGCAATATTTTTTGCAATTTTTTTAGACATTGTCCAGCGATTGGACAACTCGGTGGGCCAGATCGTCGCAAAACTCTCCGAAAAAAAACTCCTACACAACTCCATCATCCTTTTCTTATCAGATAACGGGGCCCAAACTGTCGGAACGTACAAAAATTTCGGCTCTAATTGGCCCCTAAGAGGAGTAAACCCTTCCCAAAAAAATTCGGAGGAGTGATTAATAAGCAATTTTAGGTCAAATTGACCGAATTTGAGGGCGGAATTCGGGTTCCAGCGGCCATTTATAGCCCACTTTTCCAAAAAAAGGGCTATGTAAATAGGGAGTTGATACACATAACTGACTTTTTGCCCACTTTTTATGCCGCCGCCGGTGGCAATTTGAAATATTTGGGCAAAATTGATGGTATAAATCAATGGGAGACTTTATCGTACCAAAAACCGGGCAAAAGGGCTGAAATTTTGGCCAATTTTAACGAAATTGATAACGTTTCAGCCATAATCACGGGACAGTACAAGTTGCTTCAAGGTATTGTTGTATTAACAAGAAATTAGTACCTAGGATTTAGGGATATTCGTGAATAGGTTGCCATAAATTTGGTTAGGTTGGCTTGTGGTGACAAACAAAAGATATCGAACTAGTGTCAGAAATTTAAGTTGTATAGATAACTCAATTGATAGTTGACAGAAAACATCAACCGTCAACAACAAGGCATTGAAAATTCTAGTTACAAACAACATGAAAAACGTAATTTTCCTGAAAGTTCAAATCTTAAATTTTTAAAAGAAACCTTTAAATTTCTTTTATTTTAAAATTTTAGAATTTTAATAACAACGATCTTTAAATTTTAAATTTTTGAATCATGGATTCTAAATTTTAGAGTCTTGATGGAAGTCTAAATTTCTTAAATATCAAATCTCGAAAACCTGAATGCAATTCTACATTGCCAAGTTTCTAATATTATAGATTTTTGAAGACCTTTAAATTTCTAAAAGATTGTAAAGTTTTAATTATCTAAGATTTTAAGACATTTAAGCTTGTATGATTGTAAAATTTTAAAATTTAACTTCGAGGTCTCATTTTTTAAAATCTAAACAACCTATAGATTTTTAAATTATCATAATTTTAGAATTTCGAATCCTAAAAACCTTTACATTTCTCTTATTTTAAAATCTTAGAATTTTAATAACAACGATCTTTAAATTTTAAATTTTTAAAACATCGATTCTGAATTTTAGTCTTGATGGAAGTGTAAATTTCTTAAATATCAAATCTCGAAAACCTGAAGATCTTTAAATTTTCATAGTCTTGAATCATGGATTCTAAAATTTTAGAATCTAAGAAGCCTAATATCTTAACATCTCTCTAATGTTAGAATCCTGAAATTCAAAAATAAAAAATAAAAAATAAAACGTCAACCGTCAACAACTAGGGATTGAAAATTCTAGTAGTTACAAACAACATGAAAAACGCAATTTTCCTGAAAGTTCAAATCTTAAATTTTTAAAGGTTTTTTTTACAAACTAGATAATTTTTAAACCGGTATTTCTAGATACTTTCTTAGTATCCCCCACAAAATTTTAATAACAAGGATCTTTAAATTTTAAATTTTTGAAACATCGATTCTGAATTTTAGTCTTGATGGAAGTCTAAAGTTCTTAGATATCAAGTCTTGAAAACCTGAAGATCTTTAAATTTTCATAGTCTTGAATCATGGATTCTAAAATTTTAGAATCTAAGAAGCCTAATATCTTAACATCTCTCTAATGTTAGAATCCTGAAATTCAAAAATAAAAAATAAAACGTCAACCGTCAACAACTAGGCATTGAAAATTCTAGTAGTTACAAACAACATGAAAAACGTAATTTTCCTGAAAGTTGAAATCTTAAATTTTTAAAGGTTTTTTTTACAAACTAGATAATTTTTAAACCGGTATTTCTAGATACTTTCTTAGTATCCCCCACTGTCTTTTTAAAAAAAATCTCGATTGACATTTTTTGAATTTAAGCATTTTCTTAGTCTCCCTTCTTAGTTTGAATGAAATTTTGGAGGGGAAAAATGTTTTTTTTGTAGGGAGACACAGTATTCCCGAATATGAACACTACTATGGTGACAGTGGACGCAACCATGGGGACCCCCCATACAATTTCACAGCGGTTTTGTCCAGTAGTACCAACCGAGCGATACAAAATAGTATCAAAATAGTGAATTTGAGGGGTGAGACTGATTTGAGCTGGTGCAGGAGTGCCAACCAAACTCCGATTATGGATTGCACAGAGGGTTGTTTGTTCGATCTAGAGAGTGACCCTTGTGAGACGACAAACATAATTCAAAGGGAGAAAATAATAGCTGGAAGATTATTCAAACGACTTTTAGAATTTTCGCAAGTTTTGGTCCCCCAACAAGATCCAGTTTTCGATCCAGACTCAAATCCCCAGTTTTTCAATGGGACTTGGTGCACGTGGTTGGATTCCGAATATTGTCCGAAATCTTTTTAGTTTGTTTTATTTAAGAAAGAAAATAAACACTGTGGTGATTTGGTGAATTTTATTTGATACAGAGTACAAAAGGCCTGTCAAGATTCAATGGGTGCAAAATCCGGTCGGTTTGGTGGCAGAATTGCCCCCGCACGTGCCCCGACCTGAGTTTAATACACTCGCCGACGTTCAATCATCGCTCCAAAAATAATCCGGGAAGGACCGTTCCCAAGGTTGTAATATAGCAAGTTGTATTTTAAATTCGGTGCACGTTTTAATCGCGATGAATCACATCTCGTCTCGAACAAACCAACATTAATTATTAATGTGGGTCCTGATGGGTGGCGCTTTTGCCCGTTTTGAAATTTTCTTATTAATGACGAGAGCGCCACAATCCTACACGTTTCTTGCATTAATGACATCTAATCATACATATGAAGGTGTAAAACACTCGGAGAAGGAACACGGAACGAATAAATCAACGAGATATGAGAGGCGGACGATTTGGATGGATGATGATGAGGTTATGCAATAATTGGATTTCAACAAAATGTTTTTTCTTTATTGGTTTTTATTCTACATCTCATGTCTCATTGTAGAGCAAAAAATGATCAAAAGTATCAAGTTACCCAGAATCTTAAGATTAAAGAATTAGAATTTTGTTCAGAATTCTGCAATCGTGAAATTTTAGAATCTTTAAATCTTAGCATTCTTGGATTCGTGAAATTCATATGCAGAAAGTCTTCATAAATTTAAAATCGTGGAACTATAGAATTTTGTATCTAGAATTTCTAAGTTTCAATTTTTTTTTAAATCTTAGAATCGAAAAAACTTAGATTTTTAAAATTTCATCATTTTGGAATTTAGAAGCCTAGAAACCTTTAAATTTCTCTTATTTTAAAATCTTAGAATTTTATTAACAAAGTTCTTTAAATTTTAAATTTTTGAATCATGGATTCTAAATTCTAGAATCTTGATGGAAGTCTAAAATTCTTAAACATCAAATCTTGAAGATCTTTAAATTTTCATACTCTTCAATCATGGATTCTAAAATTATAGAATCTTAGAAGCCTAATATTTTAAATCTCTCTAATTTTAGAATTCTGAAATTGTTCAGAATTTTAAAATCTTGATCCCCTAAATCTTAGATTATTACCTAAAACTTTAAAATTTTAAAAAC